ACTCATAGCATGAGCCTTTATAGCAAAAGTCTTCACACGCATTTAGTGACTTACAAGCCCGAGTACTTCTCCAGATGGATTAGCATGCATGTGTTTGCTACCTAAAACTTTTTGGTGGTTAGTAACCACTCTCCGGCGAACGGGCTCTTTGAGCTTAGGCGAATTCATAGTAATTGAACCTCTCTGGAATACTTGCAATACGATCGTGAATATGGTTACCCTGCTTAGTTGAATCATGTTGAGGTATGCATGCTACTGTGGAGAGACGTAGGCTTATCGTTACGTACCGAAAGGTATGCTTTTAATAATGGTAAAAGCCACGCAGAAACCAGGTCAACTTAGGCTAGTGTTTATATTCCTGGTATCAGTGAAGCTGTTGCCTCAGACTCGAGCCTAATTTAAGTTAGGTTATAGCGTCGAAGCTATGAGCGTTGTATAACATACCGAGACTGATGACCTGTTCGGACGGAAGTAACTTATGTTCTGGCGTGAGCGTATACCAGGGTCGCCGGCCTGCGACAATTCTCTGTGAAAAGCAAGGACGAGCAGTGGATATCTCTTATGTAATTGACTAGCACGTTGATGGAATCAGCTAAGTTGCCTGCGCGCTACTGCTTATAAGTCACTAACCGCGTGCGAAGACTTATGTTTAGAAAGGCGTATGCAATGAGTAATCGCGGTCATCCTATTCCCAGATCCATGGGACGCTGGTGCTGGTTGCATGCTTTTAGAGGAATGTATGTAGTTAACTAGCGGATCGGTTAGATCGAACCGGTGAGGTATAGTATTATACTGTATGCTTGTACTAGCTAAAGGTATTATCTGCTATACTTTGCCTAGCCGCGTGCTTAGTTGAGGCCTAGTTGAATAGTACTAGTTGCTATAGTATATAGTCTGCAGTATGGTCTCGGAACTATATGATAATAGTGTGACTTACTAGTATGTATATACATATGAGGCGGCAAGCCCCCACAAAATCATAAAAACCTTACCCACTATGTTATCTAATATGTGGGAACGAATATCATACTTCAAAATCACTCTCCTGCTAACAAATTTTTTTATTAATGTAAAGACCAGGCAATACAAGGAAAGCTTGCCTAGAAAACATAAACAAAAAAAAATCTCTACTACTTTTAGGCTCTGCAGCTTACCAGTTTATTATCTCAGATAGAGGGCTACTTAGTAACTTCAAGCATGAGCCAACTTCTGTAAACCATTAACCAGCAAATTAGGTTATAATTTTCCTATATAAATGAAAAGCTATTTGGGAGTCTAAGACCCCCTGCAACTACTAACGGTATTGTGTAACTATTGTTTCATTTTTGGTATTAGTTTATAAGTTAAGAATGTACTTTTGTATAGTTATTTGCAACTCTCAATTCTTTTCTGTAGAAAATTATGTGGATTTATGAAGCAGAAGCTCATCTTATACGTTTACATGATGAAGTTCAGACAGACGAAGCGATACTTAATGATGAAATGAGCACGTAGACTAAGATATCGCTAATTATGAAATCCGGGATCAAGAAGCTCAGATGAAGGAATAGTTATTAGTTAACGAAAATGAAGAAGTAGACGCTGGACCATGGTATTTGGGAAAGAACGGGTATACTAAGTGGCGTAAAATGGCCCCACCAAAAAAAGTTAGAACAAGAATGCAAATTATAGTAACTCGTTTACCCGGAGCAACTGCTCGATCTAAAGAGGAAAATACTCCTCTAGATTGTTGAAAATGTTTTTTTGATGAAGAAATTATCGACGTAGTTGTTGAAAAATACCAATAGGTTTATTTTGTCAGGTACATTGAACTTTGCTCAGGAAAGAGATACTAAATTAACTAGTCGAAGTGAAATATGAAATATTAGCTTTTTTCAGCTTATTGTACCTCGCTGGATTACCAAGAGTGGTGGTGGACTAAGCATTGAGCAAATATGGGCCGCAAATGGTATAGGGATAGAGATCTTAGACTTACTATATCTATTGTAAGATTCCGTTTTCTAATGAGGTAAATACGGTTCGACGGTGAAGACACCCGGAACGAAAGGAAAACTACAGATAAGTCAGCACCAATACGGCAAAATTTTGATTTGTAAAAAAACTGCTCCTATGGTCCATTCGAGTACCTGACAACAGATGAAAAATTGAAGACTTTAAGGGGACGTTGAGTTTCAAACAATTCATGCTATATAAACCAAATAAATACGGTGTGAAAATTTTTGCTCTGGCAGATGCGAAAATGTACTATACTAAAAATATGGAGGTATATGTCGGGACCCAACTGGAGGGGCCATTTAAAGTGAACAATGAAGCTGCAAGTATTGTCAAATGACTTAGTGGACCGGTGTGAAATACTGGAAGAAGCATTACCATAGATAATCGGTTTCCAGTGTTAAACTAGATAATGTCAAGTTACACCACCAATTAATTATTCTGGGTACAATTAGAAAGAAATGGGAAATATCCCTTCTATTCCTATGTTAAATCCGTCGACCATTTTCAAGTATGTTTGGTTTCCGAAATGGATCCATAACACAATAACTCAGTATACCCAACACTTAAGACAATTAAAACAATATAGGAAAAACACAAAACACTAACCCTCTAAATTTTCACCGGAGAAATGGGCCGTGATTTGTCCAATCAGAAACCTAAGAAACAACATAAAAATAGAAGGAAAATTAATATTGCAACACAAATAATTTAATTTGACCTACCTTATTAATTGAAAACAAACTAAACAATGTAAAATTTTATCTTGTTCAATTAAATATACTGTGCATATATGGAAGCATTTCGACCTTTTGTAAAGGTATAAATACAAACTGAAACTGGTCAAAAAAAGCATATTTAATTAAATGTTTCTCCGTGTACGTTCTTCTCGCAAATTTTGACAGTCCACACTAGTTTTTTACATCCCTTAAAAAAAGACAAGGTTGTGCTTTTAATATCGAGTTTGCATAAAACTGACAACTTTGATAAGAATACTGGGGGAAAGCAGAAACCTGAAATAGTGACAAGCTACAACCAAACCAAGGGAGGTATGGTCACCAACTTATATGCTTTGTACAATTGGGTCCGCAATAGAAGGCGGTGGCCAATGGTAGTATTCTCCACTACGCTGAACGTGGCTGGTACAAACTTTCAAGTTCTCTATGAAGGGAACTTGACAAAAGTAAATTCATGAAAATTTTTTTTTTTTGGAAAATCTATCACTTACACTTATTGAAGAACATTTGAGAGGGCTTGCGATAAATAAAAATATTCCGCGAAGCATAACTGCTAGAATAAATGAAAATTTTAGGTATCAAGAACCGAAGGAGACCAAAGAAAGAGACAACCATCGAGGAAACTGCTCTAAGTGTAAGGGTATAAAGCGGAGAACAAGATATTATTGCGCGAAACGTAAAATATATCTGTGGTCAGAACATTCCTTTTGTTATTTGTAACGATTGTTGCGGAAAATAGGTAATATTTTTAGTCAAGTGAGATGCCCCTCTAAACAAACTGTTTTTGGTAATTTTATTTATTTTTTTACTTTACTTTAATTGAAATTTCTTTTTATTTTTTCAGCACAACATATGGAGTTTAACGAAAAATATTTGAGAAAAAATTAAAGCCGTAAGACTGTTATGAAATGCATTCGTCGCATCTGATTTGGTTTTCTAAATTTTCAAGTTAGATAGAAGTTAGAAATTAGTGTGACGTGTATCCTAATATCTCAATAAACAACAAATGTTCTAAATTAAAGATTTTTTTAATTTAATATAAAAATAAAAATTTAAAACTCAAGGGATCTCAGAGGCCTACTGCGATTACTAATGTCTAAATAAGAGGAGCTACTACTGTAGGGTTAAGTTTATTTAACCGGAAAATCGGAAAATTATCTTGTTTTACAGACGCATTTTGAGAAGGCAAATACGACTATAAAACTATTATGGGTTATATTATACTAATTAATAGAAACCGATAAAACAAAAGCAAAAACCATTGAATTAACGTGTGAAGCGGAATATATTGTACTTAGCAAAGCAATTGTTAACCATCATAGCTATAGAACTTAATAAGAGAACTATTCCTAGTTTAGGGGCAGAACTCCACAGATATATAGATCATGTAAAAGTCAAAAACGTGAAGAGAATTGCTTCGCACAAAAGGTTTAGACGTGTGGATAAAATCTTATCTCATAAAACATGAACTCCGGAGGACTACGAAGTACATTATATATATACGTGTATATATATAAAGGAATTTGGCAGACATATTTACAAAAACCATTACTTAGAAAAAAAACGCCCTGCTACTAGGAAATAATTAAGGACTAAGAGAGATACCTGTATATTAAAAGCTAAAGAATAATATGGTGCTAATTATCTAACTTGCACTGTGGGACAAAAAAGTTGACCTCCAATAGATTCTAAAGTTGTCTATTAAAATACTGTTTTCTTGGACTAATCTCGAGCTAAAAACTTGTAATACTTTTTCCAATTTCATTTTGCTTAATTTTTATCAAAGTTAACCATAGCAGAACTCATGTAAGGATTTAAAAAAATCTTAATAATGCAATTTTTGTCCCAGTAATATAGCAGTTCGAGGAATTACAAAAGTCCGAAGCAAAAGTATGGTTTAGGCCTATGGCTATAAACTCGCGGCGGTCTTAGCCTGCCGTCATAATATTCCATCAACACAGATCCTGGGTACTCGATATAAATGGAGGACGCTCAATGAAGGCAGTATTTCCAAATATTATATCTTACAAAACATCCTTATTTTATTAATTATACTTTTTCCCTAGCCTTCGCCACAATAATTTTTTTCTATTTCTACCAGTTCATATTAATTTTCCCCGAGCAATAAGTTATATACGAAGGGCAGGCATGGTTGGGTAGGCAAATTGCCTCCGATAGTTTAACCAATCAACTTACCGTTTTTGTAATTAATTAGAGTAATTTGTTAAGATAATTATAACTTTATTACCTGATTAAACTTAATTTAATCTTATACACAGCTCCACCTCGTCCTCGCATACTTAACGCAGTAGACTTAGCACTATTATATATATATATATTTGTATAAGTCTATAAATAGAAAATTTTTAAAAAAATAGGTTTATAGAACTTTGACCGTTTTTAAAAAATAAAAAAAACCACCCAATTATTTTCTCTGGTAAAGTAACCTCCAAACGATTTTACATAAAATATATATATATATACTATGTATATTTGCGTGGAGCCTTATTGTAACTCTCTGAAGCATAAAGGGCAATAATAAAAGCTAACTTAATTGAAGACTTAAAAGTTCAAATAAAGTTTATCTATTTAATAAATACAAAAGAAATATAATCATTTATAACATTTGTGAGTATATTTAATGACTAGCAAATATTATTTGTCCGAATTAAACATTATAATTTAGTTCTAGACCATATAGCGGGCAACGGCAGTGTGGACTCAACTCATCATGTTATAACAAGATATTCATAAGTTATTTTTTGTCCCCAAACATCGCCAGCTTTACACACCATATCAAATATGGGAATTATAATCTTAATTCTATACTATCACATAAATAATAGTAGGCAAGCTGTTAAAAATTAAATTTACAACCGTTTTACATTACTGAAAATGGTGTAACTAAAGAAACTGTTATACGTATCGAAGTGGGAGGGACTAGGATTATTTTTTTAAAGCTTGGGAAAAGTTGTGGTCTAAAGGCTGTCATCATAAGTAGAATCCCTTTTTTTTTACTTGTGTAGCAGAGAAAATCGTTCCGTCAGCCGATACTACAAAAGTGGAGATTGAAAGCATTAGTGTGAGAGTCGCATGCGATCTCTTTGGTATGAATGCAGAGAATGTAACGAATATTAACTTGTAGAAATGGAGAGAGGAAGCTACTTTAAACTTAAAATACTTACGAGCTTTCCTTGTAAAATTGCTTAGACATAAATACGGACACAATTCAGGCGGTACAACGAGAGTGACGGCAAGAGTTCATAAATGTAAGGAGAATTAGACTTCAGTCTTAATAAATTAAGAAATTTTAACCTAATAAATATGTTATTCTGTTAGGGTGGTCATTCATAAAAGCTCAAGCTTTAGTCCCGCAAGACAGTTTTCTGGTATTTATTACAAGGGTTATTGGTTGAAAAAAAAGGCTAATAACAATTTTAGCAAGGGCCATTTTCGCGATTATATACCACAAGAGGGTACGTAAAGTAAAAGTTAAAAACCCATAAATAAGGCTAATAATTCGTTTTAAGGGTAATAACCAATAAAGTCAAGGTTTATATTTGTAAATAAGGTACAATTTAACAAGAGAAAGACCTGGAACATGCTAGTGGTATTTGTTCTCAGGATAACCGAAATAATACCAACAACTGAACATCTTTTGAGTGTATCTGCCGGCCACACTTATTATGAAACCATCTTTAAGTGTTACCGCTTGCCATGACCGGTCGTGACTTTGTTACTAAAGAATTCTGAACCAGCACAACTAGAAAAGCTCGCAAACTTTATTAAACAAAAAATCCAATCAGTTACATATGCGCAAATAGTTCAACAGCTGACGCAAGTAAAGAAATACGAGCAGACTCATAACTAATAAATAATGTCAACGTTGCTACAGTGTAAGAAAAGAGAGTAAAGGCCGGCTCTTACTATATTTTTATAACTTCTGGTAAGAGGAGTCGCCTCTACAGGATATAAGTAGTTAGGGCAGAGCTTGTTAACCGATTAAATTTAAAGTTTGCAGATAAGAATAAGAGTAAGTAAGTCGGCTAAACAACCCGAACAAGAAAATTTTAATATGTTGACTGATAGTTCGTAAAAGATTTGATGTATATCACTTAAGTGAAGAAAATAGAGATCATTCAATCCCCACAAGTATAATAAAAATCATTACACATTTAAGATATAATAACTATGGGAGTAAAAATTTAAGAGTAAAAGGGACAATACATTATAAAAACTACGAAAGATGCATAAGCAAATAGATAATGAATATAAGTATAATAATAACGTCAGAATAATATTAAAATTTACTAAGATAAACGTAGAAGAGCAATTCCAGCCTCATCAATACCAGCAATGAACTTTCCAACCTTTACATTTTCATCATAAATTATCGAATCTTCTAAGGGGCTAATTAAAATAGAATTATTAAACAAGAACTTTTTGTGTAATACTAATATTTAATGGTAAATAAAAGTAAAATATCCTTAACAGCATATCGGCTCTGAGCGGAGGCTCAATAATAATCGGAAATATCCTTTTTCGAATGTCTAATACAAACTTTGAACGGGCGGTCAACTCTTGCCCCAAGTAACAGCCTTTCTGAAAACTAACTGTACAAAAAGTATATATATATAAAGTTATGAAGGAAAGTAACAGTTCACTTCCTACAAAAATAATAATACCGCCGTTTAACTGTTCAACGTTAAATTCTAGGGGAAGAGCTTTACCGGATGGAAACTCTGGACCTTCTGGAATCCCCAGCAGGTATCTTTTTAAGGGTGTACGATTAAGTTTTGTTTTGCATATCATGCAGAAACTAAAAGGCAGTTTAAGTGTTAAGTATGTTAATAACAATTACTTCATAACGTTAAGAATGACAATTCATAAAGATAACAAGAGGAAAAAAAGTTACGCTGTATAAATAATATATATGTTACTATAGTGACTTTTACGATTAATAACTTTACCAAACCCTTCGACAAAACTTAAGAAAAAGATAAACATACAAACACACTTTCTTTAAGTTACCTAAATATATAGTTTCAAAAATTTACAATGACAAATAAAAATTGTTAATATAAGTAATATCTAAAAACTAGTTGACTTTAATAAATAAAATCGAATTAAAATTTATACCTTCGTTTATCGTATTCTTTTGAACTTACAAATTTGAAATCAACCGAAAATCCTACAAAGAGAAATGATATACTTAATTGCTATAATAGTTTCATAAATTAAGAAAAAATTAACTTTAAACCTCTTATTGATAAAAGATACGTTGATAAACTAGAACTAGAAGATGGGTTAACCTTATGATAGACTAAAAAGTTACCGTATATAGAAAATTAGTGTTTGAAGGTAATTTGTATGTTTGATTGTTACTGTTTTAGCTTTTGAGCGTAAGGGAGTTAGTACGTTTTAACTTGTCATAATCTAAAATCATTGAATGTAATCTTTATAGCCTGTGTGCCACAGCTTAGATGATGAATGCGGGAGTTTCGGTGTATAAACTTAAGATAGAATCCTGTCTTGAGAGCTTAGAACTCAACATGATAATTTTTGTAAAACAGACTTATCGGCGGTGCCGGCTATATATAGTACTAGTATAACCACACTATTACAGCGCAGTTACACAAGCGCAGCGGCACCCAGAGACAAAGGCACCAAAATGGTACCAAAGCCCAGAAGTCCAGCCACAAAGGCCGGTCTAGGAACGAGGCAAATAATCCTAAGTAAATACCACTCATTCTACAGACCCCTAAACGCTTTCGTCCGCAACTAAAGTAATTTTACCTCATTAGAATGTGATAAGTAGTACAGAAATAACTTACTGTTACGCGTTTATCTAAAAATTAAACAATTATATAAAAAGCTGAAAGCTTCTATACGACAAGATAATGGTTTTCTTTAATCAAAGTAAAACAGTTGTTAAAAAAAAGGGTAAAGTAATTAATTTAATAATTTTTTAATCAAACATCTATTTATAAAAAATGTAAGTTTAATAAGTAAAAAAAAAATTATTTAACTTTTGAATTAAAAAATAAGGATATTCAGAACATCATATTGAGATAAATTATACTAATTATAAAATAAGATATTCATAGAAAAATAATTATATAAAAAAGTTTAAACTAAATTATAAAAGTGCCAAAACATTCTTTAATATATATTAAGTAAAATATAAGTCTGAATTAACTTGGTATTAGTTACATCTGATTAAACTAAAAGCTTCATTAAGTAAAGCATAATATAATACTGAAGCGGGTATACTAATAATAAATATATATATACATATAAATTATATACCACTTTCGCTGCCTCGCTCTACCAAAAGTCTGCATCCCAGCCCTTCATGGCGAGGATCAACACCAGCGCTTATTACAAATTTTGTATTAATAAGTTTTTCAATTTGAATTCCTTTAAAACTTTTAAAAATTGATAAAACTTGGATGCGAGAAGAACAATCTTCAATATTCGTTTTGTGTTTAAAGCTGTATCTAAACATTTTTATTTATTATCTATTATCTACAATTTACAAACATATTGAAATATCTATGTACCAGTAATAAATATATAAAATATAATTACTTATTAAGATGGGAAGTTAACTCTTGTATACGATCTTTTTGGCATTCTAAATAAAATTCATTGAAACTCAAAGGCTATAGAATTATATAGCCTGTAAATTCATAAATACATATAAAAAAATCTGTATAGCTGCTGACATTCAAAGCGAATAAATTTTCTTCAGCTACAGCAAAAGTTCTTAAAGGCACATGGATAAGTGTATCAAACAAGATCCTACCTTTGTGTATTTACTGGTAGCAGAAATAAATTAAAAAAAAAGATATTTAAAGTAACCCTGGCCATTAAGAAAAGTAGAAAAGATGACGGTCTTCCTTTTAGAAAAAGATCGCAAGTCATTCGTTACTAAGTTTTGTAATAATTGTGCGCTGCTACTACTACTGACTTTTATTAACCCCAATCTTTCAGAAAGATGAGCAACTGTAACTAATAAATAATGTCAAGGTATACAATGTATATATATATGGAGAGAGTTACCATATTGTCGAAACACAGGAAAATTTTGGTACCAAGTTGCAAAAATCATAACAGTAGAGTTATGTTTCTAATAAAACCACTTGAATAAATGAATTGAAACAATAAGTATATCCAATCTAAATATATCAAATAAAAGTAAGAACAGAGGGATAGAAAGCAAAATATGTTAGCGTAAGATTGCTGCTTATCTATTTACTTATTTAAAAACCGACATGCCACAGCTGGACACCCGACTAATGGTTACACCGGATAGTATAGTGTGGGCTACGAATGAAATGCGCCAAAATGTTGAGTATAACAGTAATTAGTATCGGGACAGGCGCAATCATGATATGTCAAGGTCTCCAAAGAATTGTATAAAAATTTATAACTTAAGTAATTTTACTAAAAATTCTGTCAGTCACTAGCAGCTCTCTTCCACTCACGATCCCTCCTCAGCTATAGAGGATAACACGGCCTCGGGTGCTTGCGTTAGAAGAGTAACTAGTTGACCAACATTTCACAAAGACATAAATTCTATGATTCACTCCATCGATAAATCCTATTTTGACTTAGACACGGCTGTTGCCCGGTTGATAGTAGCTAAAAAGGAGGCCCATAGTATATTCACCCCATTGGAAGAACGTAAAAACCAACAGTACAACTTACTAGGTCATATATATTAGCTTACTGGCTGAGAAAAGGCGGTAAATGAGAGCAAGGTATATACCTCTTGCTTTCATTGCGATCTACAATAATATAAACAATCGGTTTAAGGAAGAATTAAAAGTTTTATTTAACGAGAGCTGGCAGACAAATTAATCTTCTAGGCCGGAGAACAGTTCATTCCCTCTGGGGATTAGCAAGGACCATTAGACCTATTAAAGCTAGTAACATTAACACACCGTCCTGTCATTTCCTCAAAACCACTCACCGCCGACCTCCTCGGAAATTGCATAGGCATTTGTTGAATAATTGAAACTCACTCTCAATTATAAATCTGACAATAATGAGCACCATCTCAAGCACAGGTCCTCATTGGTTGCAGCTTACAATAACTGTAGTAAGATTAAGCTAATCAGCAGCGCAAAACTTAAAATTATTCTTCAGCCCCTAATACAAACCTCGAACCGCAATGGTATTTCTAATTTAATGCTTAAAACAACTAAAATTATCTTCCTGATATCTGGGTCAACCAAATTCTTCACACCATCTACTTCCTAGAATGGTGGAAATTAGAGTTGTTATTTTCAGTTTAAAAATTAGGGCCCTAGCCATTTTATCAGAAGCTTGTTGTCCTGCCTTGAGAGGTGGCGGGAGGGGTCATTCTTTTTAGGCCACATGAATATGAGAGTATGTGCGCTTTGCCAAATTTTCAATTTGGTTTTTGTTTAAGACAACTCTTATCATCGTATCACGTGCTCAGATGTCCTTATGTTTGTCCCACATCTTCCATTTCTTCCCTAAAGATATATATACCCTTCCTCTAGGTGACAATACAATGAATCTCTCTTTTCCTCCGTCAAAGTAGAAATTCAATGCTCAAATCCCTCTGGAAGCGCCCCTTTAAGTCTCCTGCGGAGCTTTGCTGAATTTGTGGCGAATACTTTCATGAACTTGAATACAATTTTTCTTCCTTATTATGGCGGAAAGAACTTACCAGCCTAGAAGTTAATATTCTTTGCACTTCCCACTACAATTAAATGCGATTAGGAAAAGGGATTGAGCCTCACGCGACTAAGAATGCGGGCTGGCAAAACAGCATTACCGTGCTGCCAGTCCCTTTACACCCTCCCTTGGTGATCAGGCTCTTAGCCACGCACCCACCACCGACACCCCACATAAAACATGATAATCGCTTCTTTAACTGTCCGAGAGAAAACCGGCCCAAAGTCAGCGAGAACTATTATACCGCTTGAGCCTCTCAGACTGCCGTCCTGAAGAAAAATCAAATTGAGGACATAAAATGTTGCAATCAGATCAGCTCATTTTTAAAGAAGTAGGGGAGGTACATTAAATAAAAGAACTTTTGAGACTGTTGACACTCAAACTAGAAAACAAAAAACCAGTAATAACCTTTGGACACAGAACTTCTATTTAACATACAGTAAAGCCATGTAATAGGAAAATAAAGAGATAATTACAGAGGAGCAGCTAATAAGGAAATTGAATCCTTGCCTGCCCATGATGAATTTGAAATCGTTGATAAAAATAGTCTAAACAATGATAATATCATCACAACTACGTGGAGGTTTCATGTTAAGTCATACATTCAGTTCAAAGTGAGACTGACTGCTAGGGGTTGTCAACATGTACCTGGTATCGACGTAAAGAGGTTTTTTCCCGTACTTTCCAAGCCATCATTCCGACTACTTATTATCAATACTAAAATTTTACAAAAACCTATTCACACAGTTGATATAACTTCAGCCTTTTTACATACCAAATTACGAAGCCAGTCTATGTACATAAACCTTAAGGTCTACAAATGATATCACACAAAATAAATTGTTAGCCAAGAAACCTTAAAGAACGCTATAATAAGGAAAGAAAATGTGCGTTAAAAATTAAAGTTGCTTCGTATGAAAACTTAGCTTGTAGACTGAGAAAATATGGTTGTTATCAAAATAAAACTGATGAATGAATTTTTTATTCACACATTTTTGAAACGATAATAGGTATTTTTGTTGATGACTGACCGCATAATAGTTGGCGTTCATCAAAAATTTCTTTCTGAGTTGAAAAGGAGTATAATAAAAAGAATGCAGCAAAATTAAAAGAATTCTGGGGATTAATGTAATAGATAAAAAAGCTAGTCACTTACTAGCTCAAAGGTATAACATTGAACAACGTATCTAAAAATTCCCTATTGACACATAATCAAAATGTAGAATACCTTTACCCACCTGTACTAAAATGATGAAGACAATAACACTAAGATTATAGCCTATTCGGGATCTTAACGTAATATCGTTGATAGCACTAGGCCTGATATTTCATACGCAGCATCTATGCTGAGCCGAATCTTTCTGTTTGCAACAATGAAGAACATATGAGATTGGCATTTAGAAACATATCAAAAAAGAAGTTTTTCGCTTCATATGAGATGCAATAACTATTCTTAGAACAGTATCTTATTTGAGTGCTTTTGTGATTCCTAATGGACTGACTCCTACGACTATAAAACTACCATGGGTGATATTATTATAGTTAACGGACCTCTAGTGCAAGTCTTCTAAAATAGATAGAACAAAACCCTATTAATCTTCTTGCGAGGCTGAGTACATTGCTTTTAGAAAGGTTACATTAAATTTATTAGACCCTAAATATATGCTCTTAGAAATTTTCCAAACTTTGGATTATAAGTAAAATTTTATACTGACAACGAAGCAGTGAAAGATATAGTAAAAGGTGATGCATCAAACAAGAGGATAAGCGCTTATCACCACATTAAGGACGAACTTCAAAAAGAAAATACTTACATTGAATATATACCCTCAAGACTAAATCTGGCAGACAAATTTACAAAGCCACTCTCATTTCAAATATACAATTTCTCGATAGCTGCTTAGTTGGAAACTGAAAACGATACGGAGCTTTAATAGGCTAAAAGCTACCAAACTATCAACATGATACGTAATTAAGAATACTCCCGAACATTTTAATAATCAATTTTATGTATAAAAGCGATACAACCTAAAATAAATCAACTCGTATTATTTGTTTCTTTGTTTAATTCAATTATATTCCATCCCCTATGTTCTTCTCAATCTACTTACTTGACTTTCCAAGCCACCCGAACAATGTACTCGCACTTTTTGCCGATGATGTGGCAGTATTACATCTAAAAGTCATTAATAGGTTACATACTAATTATAAGTTATCTTCTAAAGATACAAAAAAAGTTATATCTAAAATCTTAACATTAACTTTTCTAAAACTAAATCATGTTTGCTAAGTAGAAAACGCAAGCCCCCAGACCGAGGGACGCTTATTTACGACACCGAAATTTCCTGGTGTTTTAAAGCAAAGTATCTTCAGGTAGTGCAGCTGCTAAACCAAAATTGGTTAAATGTGAATTATACTATAGAAATAGCAAAACGAGCTGTGAGGTCATTACAAAGGTGCCTATACAGCCAAAGCCATTGTAGTTTGTACAAATTTCTTGTTTGTAAAGCTTTTATTCTCTCAATTCTGTTCTATGTATTACTCGGTCAAAATACAAAGTTCAATTAACACCTAACAATAGAACGACAAACCAGAACACAAAATACCAAAAAAAACAAATCAAAATTTCCCAATTTAAAAATTATTTCTAAAAGTAAACCAATCATAATTAAGAATTCAGTTTGTGATATACAGCTTTCATGTTACTGAAAAATTATGGAAAACTAACTTTGAACATAGAAATACTGTTGTGTAATTTGGTAGAAACAGGTTATTTGTACTTAAATAGGTATATTGTTAAAAATTCCTCGGTAACTAAGCTTCTTAAAATGCTAGTAAATTGCTATAATGTATTTTTCATATTAAAGAACTGTAAATGGCTATCAATTAAAGCATTCAATCTTAAAAATGTATGAATATTGGAAGAGCGGACCATAAATAGACATATAACTTTATAAAAGAGTAACTGGATTATTTTCCTACTTCACGCTTCTTTGTCTTATAGTTGTTCATTTTTGTCTCCAGGGCTTATAATCGATTAAAGCTCAAACGAAAACAAAAACAAGCATAGGAGTATTATTTATCAAACATAAATTTTTTTTTTTAAAAGAATATAAATTAAATACCTGACAATCTCCTTTTTATAGGCGATGGCTAATTGTTATATATATATATGAAATGGCCCGAGCAGGACATTTCTTTTTTTTTGCTTTATTTATGGTTTTGACTGTGTGTGGTGCTCCTCAGGAGTCTTTAAATTTGTCAAGTAAATGATTACCTTGTTGAATCTTTAGTAACTCTATACTATAATAGTTTATTTACCCGTTACTATATTATATAACTAATAGTTTATAAATATACCAATTTCAAAGGCCTAACACCGGTGAAGTCAACACCTTGTAAAATATATAACCTCCTATTTGATCTTACGTATATTTACTTTATAAATAAAAACGTTTAATGTACATATATTCTGATCCTTTTTTTTTTGTGTATTCATATTATATTTTACATACATATTATTTGAAGGTATACCTTAAATGAAGAGAATTTTAGCCGTTGGCGGTTGAATGCTTCTCTACCCATTCGTAAAAAAGCTTTGAAAACTTCAATTTTCTAAATATCTCGTTCGTTATGTAGAGATTTGTCGTGCAAAAAATATGATGCAGCAGTCGGCACCTAAGCAGGTGAAGCGCCCACAGTAATGAATAATACACATTACATATAAGCGTAGCTTGTTGTGCAAAGACTACATGTATTTTGAGCACAGTAGCGGATAAGGTCTTGTTTGATTATATTGACCAGCACCACCACGGTGTGTTGTCGTTGTCGACTACCAAGCAGAGCGCTTTTTTAAGTGAAGCCGGTATGTCTTTTTACACCCCATTATTGATACCAGCATGCAAAAGCTACTGCGTCATCGGTGTAAAGTGCGATGTGCGAACTGCTGGTTAGCAAGGTATACATACATCTAGCGCAGAGAGTAGAGTGAAGAGCAGGGGAGCCCTGGGGCAAGCGGGTCAGGCTAAGAGAAGCGCAGTGTTGATTAGGTTGCACGTTTAAGACCGAATTGAGGACATTCCTAATAATACTCAGCATATGAGAGCTGCTGCGGGAGGACTCTGAGTCTTACGCACTTGAAGCCCTTTGTCAATCTTTAAAAAGACACCCTCGTGTATTATTTAATTTTAAGGTCTTGAGTCGTCCATTTTACGAGAGGCAGTAGCTGACCTGGATACAATCTTTTTGTCTCGGCGATACATTACGCTTTCTGTTAAAGGACAATCTCTTTTTTATAGCTAGTTCAGCCGTAGTTATCAAATGGCCCCTTCTGAAGAAGGTCTTGAAAAGTTGCTTAAGTTTAAGAATTATTCCCCCCGAGATCCTACTGTACTTTATAAGTTTGCTTAAGCTGTTTATATGCATTTACTACTGTCACTTGCGCAATTCATTATGCCAGTATTTTTTTTTAAGCTTAAAACATTTTATGTCACTTTTTATACTCTCATTCTTTTTTAAGATATATAATTAAGTATTTAATGGTTTATAATTTTTAACTCTACAGTTAGCCTCTTTAAAGCTAATGAATCCTTGCCAAATGCAAGTTGAACTAACTGAAATTCGCAAAAATGATAATAATGATGAATCTATTCTCAATAAGGATATAGATTTAGGCAGTTTGGCGCCAAGAAAGATTACTTGGGATTTAGAAAGAGATTTAGGTACTTAATTTGTAATTACTGACTTTTGGAGTTTTTCAAACTTCCAATTTAACCTGATCTCTAGTGATATATTTGTTATTATTTTGAGTTATATAGACTTTATTATAACTTTTTATAAATGTTCACGTTGTTTATTGAGTTTTCCTTTAAAGCCAAAAAATTTCGGCGTTTAGAGAGGAAAACCGGCAAAGCTATTGCGGAACTCGTTAAAGAAAGACTGCAGGGAGAGAGGAGTGATGACATTGTTTATGTGGTTAATGCCTCCGTCCCCTCTTTTTCTTCATTTCAGTAAGCTGTTCCACTTTGAAGGCTTTTTTTCCCGCTTGTTTGGTTAATAACGCACAGTTTGCTTGAAGTTTATAAAGTGCAAACTTAAAAGTCACTATTATTTTACAATTTTTATCGCTTGCTACTAGTGTTCTATGTGCCAGCAAATTGTACTGATCCTGTATAGGAAATTTTGTTGGCTTCTAGCTGGTATGCGCGCTTGCACTTAGATTAACGGGAGCACGCCTTCTGCCCCGGTTAAGCAGTTTATTCTCAAAAATCTCGAGCTTTCAAAAAAGTTACTAATAATAAATATAATTTTCAAAGAGTAATTAGTGTTTAAGCAACTGTAAAGAAACTACTTCTCAGCTTTTGCAAAGATACCGCAAATTTTCATTTTCCTTGAAAGACCACGCTTACTAAGCTCCTGTTTAACAAGTATAATTTATGAATTTTTAGTTATAAATGTCTGAAACCTTCGTTGAAATATTTAAGAACTGTTAAAGTGTACCTATGCCACAAAAGTAATATGCCTTAAAAAAGGCTACGAGGTCAAAACTAGACGAACAGAATAAGAACAGGAGTTATTTATTAAGCCGCTTTCTGAGTATACGAAGGACTTCTACTTGGACCTTTTTCACTCGTGGTCGGATGCAAAAAAGATTGATTTGATGTAATGAAATACAAGAGAAAGTTATATGATAGTTATAATCTAAAAAGAACATTTGGGTTCTTTATTCAGTGTAATAAACTGTAACCCAGTACTCAATGTTTTTAAATAGTGGGGAAGCTACCCTTAGTAATATATTGGTAATATTGTGGGCCCCTGCTGATGACTTAAAACCAGAGAGGGTTGTAGAATCAAAAAGCTCGGACTATTTTGAATTCAGCCGACTAAATACTGAAAAGGTCCTTTTTTAGGATTATAACGGTGTAATGTCACCCTACAAAGGAGCCCGGTCTTCCTCCACATATTAAGTCTCCTGTTTCTTTATTTTATTACAATCAATTAGTTAACTTGTAACGTTAGAGAAGGTTCTATTCTAAGGTTTTTAGATTGTAAAACTTGTCCTGAACAATTATATAAAAAATTTTAGTCCAATTTTAGCCAAACGAATACAAAAACATAAAGTTGTAAAACCTAATTAAGGTTTAGTATTATATTTATCCTGATAACTAAGATAAAAAGGCCGCTCAATAATAGAGCAAGTATTTTAATAAAATAAAAAGTTCGCCCTTGTAAACTTAATTAAATAGTACATAGTAAACGGTACGTATAATTAAGAGAACCTTAATTTTTTTTAAAAAAAGGTTATAATTTTATCTGCCTATTTCAAAAGTGTAAAGTTTTTTTAATAGAAACGCTATAAAATTATTATAGAAAACAGTAAAATCTACTCACGCCAGTTATGTGAACATGAAATACACTTATAAAAGGTGGTCATGGGTTCATCAGCTGAACGCGTTTGCATCATACGGAAGTAAGCTTCATTATGCGAACAATTAGGACATGTCTCTGATATATAGTCAAGCTAATTTTTAAAAAGGAAACGTGAGTTTTCTTTCAAAGGGAAACCTATGGTTTTGTCTACGTTCTCCCAAGCATCATCACCCCCAATAACATCGTCTATTTCTTTCATATTTAAATAGGTTTTCTTTTGTATAGGATGTTCGATATTGTGGACATAAGGACAAGTTAAACAAGTAAATCGAAGTTTGCCTAACAAAAATAACTCCAATGCGAACACTAACTGGATACAGGAAACGGTAAACAACTACCATCTAATAAGGATTCCAATACCAAAGAGTTTCCGCATGTGGCGCAAAAGTACAACATTATCCTTGAAAGAAACAACTAAAGAACCCAAGTAGTGATATTTTTATTTTAGATTGCATAATCGTGTTATTAAGAAAACCAAATGCACATTGTAAATTATTATAGCCAATAACGGACATATATAATTTAATGATTCTTGGGTTAGTATTCATACTGGGTCATATAATGCGCCTATACTGACAAAGACCGCGGTTTTGCTTTAAAAATAAACTATTTTACCTAGTTAGGACAAAAAATTATATAACATCAGACCGCTAAAAACATGGAACACTCTCTTTTTTAATTAGAGGGTTTTACAATTGCTCAATAACTCATTTTTTACTAATAACTTTCAGGTGTATATAACTGGTTTAGGTCAAAAATGGAAGTTTTCCAATTACATTATTAATAACCGTGGACTTTGTACTTTATAAGCACGAATTTAATTTTTTTTAAATCTTTTACCATATTCTGTTGTTTCTTCATGCTTCCTATAAGCGTTTGTCTTAATTTATTTGTATCGAGTTCTAACCTCCTACTATTTTGTTAGACCTTCCATCACAAAAAGGTGGACGTTTTTCTTGGGAAGAGGAAAGTAAATAATTTAGATAACATTTTTACACCTTTCTTTACCTTCAAAATGATTAACATTAATTTCATATCAATATGTACAGTTCTAATTCATTAATTTCCATTCATCCAAAATTTGAGTAAGACTAATATTTTTGGGAAAGCGGATCGAACTGAAGCATTAAATTCTTAAAAGGCTAGACCTGCCTCGCCCAGTCAAAAACTGGACGCCCATCTTTAAGGGGCGGAAATCATTTAAAATATTGTCCTAGCACAAATTATTTATCTTACAGTTTGTTAATTTAATTTCTTGATTACAATATTTCTTTTTTATGACAAGCAAATAGAACTCATAATGCAAACTAATGGCTTTCAAACTTATAAGTACTCCACATGCTGAATATCTCGTGGTATTTTGATTATAAAAATGTGGAGAAAGAAAGTTAAGCATTAAAAAAAAAAAAGATTTTGCCTCTAGGATCCAAACAATTATTGGCATGGAAACTTTAAAAACAAATCATTTTGTCGTATACTTTTGGCCACTTCAGGTTTAAAGGCAAAGTGTACTGCGACTTCAGTAATTCAGCAATGCGCTCGTCCATTTAGCTTGAAAAATTATGATAGCGTGCCTTCAGGGAGCTAATATCCCATTACACTATTTCCCCTCATATATCGATGTGGATGTATATTTATGTGTTAAAATCTTATTAGGACAACAACTCGGAGCTATGCTATTAATTAACTCAGAGTGGGAGCAAGCACTAACCTTCTGCATTAAATGCTATTAGTATAACGCTAACCAATATGTTAAGAATTTAACCACCCTTCAGCACGGATATAAAACTTGAATAACTGAGGTTAACTATTTAATATTTCTTAGGTACCTTTTAAAATCTATTGCCACAATGTGTATGGTAATATCTATTTTTTAATAATAATCACATGTTAGCTCGTTTATTTATTTATTTCTTTTCCTTTTTCGGTTTTTACCGCTTCTTTAGTGTTTTAGTTTTACGATGGTCGAGAGGGCCTGCGATATTTATGAAGGTTATATCTTTAGTCTGAAGGACTAGAACAAAGGCTAAACGACTAGAGGGCGTTACAGTTGAAAAAATGAAAGCTTAGTAGTCTAGAGGACAACTAAGTAATAAACTAGTTTTACTAAATATTTAGAAAAGATTAAGAAACTTTATTTAAACAAAAAACTACAATCTTTAGAGGATGCGATTGCAACCATCCAAAAAGTTCTTGACTTAAGAATTGCTGTTCTCTTTAAATTTGGAAAAAGATAGTCGTTCATACAAAGTACATGTTTATTATTATTACTGTATTAAATCCTAAAAAACCAAATCTAGTCATTTTTCTTGGCATTTTTCCTATTTATTTAAGACAAAGCAATTATTTAAAGGCATATACTAAAAAAGTTCCACCATTAGTAACAAAGAAAGAATCCTTACTAATTAGGATATTCCATATGCTTAATTTATGCAGTCGCATGACCTTGTTTCTTTTAAGAATTTTAGTATTAGTTTTTGAAACTCGCTGCATCAGTCTGTCTCATCGGCGGCTTACAAATTCAAGATGGAACAAATACTTAATTGCTGTTTATCAACGCCTATCGCCTAGTATTTCTAATTAAATGGCACCCGCAATAAGTAAGAACTAAAATCAGATATAATATTTTTATTACGTCGCCGAAAGATTTTTTCTCGGGTTTAACATAAACAACTCACCCTTCTCCATCCTTTACTATAGATAGGGAATTTTTACTTTGCGGAGTAAAATTTACATGTTTTTGGAAAACTTTTAGAGTAAACTTTTCTTGTACTCTTACAATTTATAAAATTGTTGTGCCTTCACCTCCCCTGTTGCACTAGTTTAAGCTAACCTTGTACTCATCAAATTGTATATTATTAATTATATACATATATTTCTCCTTTATAACTGTATTAGTTACAAATGAACAAATGTTATCTTATATTAGACTTCTTGGGGTTAAATATATTAAAGTTGTCCTAAAACTACAATAATTAATTACTCCTCCTCGGGTATTTCAAATGAGCTCTCACCCCTTGCTGGCCTGTAGCCGTTCCATTCGACATAAGTTGACAGCGACTCTGCTCAGCTTAGAAAAGGTTTTTGCTAGAAATTTTCTGTACTGATATTATTTCTTCTAAATACGTCCACAACATAAAAATTATTACGACAACGGCCTAACGTTCTACTAAACTCTTTAGCTTATTTCTAATAAAAAAATAATTTTCATTAAGCTCTTATCATCCAACCGTTTTCTATAACCTTAGTTACCATGGTGGTGCCTCTTTAGTTCTAGACTGATTCTTTATTAACCCGAAGAATCTCGGCATTCTACAATACTTTCTCATCATTTTATTCTCTACTCACTCTGGCATACAAACTATTTTTATTACTATATCACTAGATAGAAATATTCATATTTGTTTCTAAACTCTTACTGGAACTAATTGCATTACTAAATCGGCGAGTTTGTGGATTAGGCTAGAGTGCTTAATGCAGTTTAGGTTTCATATATATTTGGTGTAACAGTGGGTTTAGTATGTTCCCCATCCTGTTAAAGGTATTTATGACCACATTTTGTATACTCTATTAGAATTTTGAGATTTAAAGCCTTCTGAAGTTGAGCCTTTGTAATATATCTCGGTCTATAAGTGAACACCCGCAACGACTTATTTAAATACTTTTGTATTTGCCCAATGAGTTTAAGAGCTAAACCCCATGCAAGAGAAGAATAGGTTAACATTAAATGTATTATTGTTTTTTGGTTACTTGAAGTATACTTGTTTTTAGGTTAAGGCTAGAACAAAGTGTTGCAGACACATGTTTCGCTTTGCACAGTATGTATATTCTATAGGTTTTATATATGTTCGTTGTTTTTAACTAATCCAAGGGGCCTTTCCTCAGAGCACACCAAGGGAGGCGTGCACTAGGCTTGAAAATGGTGTATTAGGCGATTTCACTTTTGGAGAGTTTTTAGTGCTTAGTGTGCTATACTTATGCCTTTATTGGCCAAAAGATATACATTATATAATAGAAAAAAGGAAAAAACCCTCCAATATAACCTGATGGATAAAACTTTGTATTGTTTTAATGTAGGCATCTAGTTATTGACCAATCTACCGGGTAGTAAAGAGGGAATTTTTTGGAATTTATGAGGGCGAACTTACGTACGCGACCATCAAAGACTGAAAAAGGGAGCAGTGTCGGCTAAAATCGAACCCACTTTGTGTTACCGCTTCAACGTTCTTAACCTCTAAGCTACGACAACAATTCTTATATATATTATCTTTAATATATACATCTTTTTATGTCCGGTAGCATAATTTTAGTTGTATATGCACAATTCAGTATATTATATAATATAATATTAAATTATTCTTTATATTGTTATTATTTTTATTCTGTTTGGCTTTAAGTATCAACTTGATAAATGTAAACAATTAAGGTGCCTTAATTCCGTTATTTCTAAAAGTAATGACCTTGTCGTTTTTTTACCTTCAATTTATTGTTCCTCTATCTGTTAATTCCTAAATTTATTTTAATAGAATATCTGGTCTTTTAACTGTAATAAGAGCAAGGAGACTCAATGTACTTCATTCAACTCACACGCCGAATAAGGAAATCGCTTTACTTAATCAAGAATCTTCAATATTAAGAAACTTTCGATAACCTTGGTTACAACCGTCGGGAGTCTTGCATAGCTTACTGTTTCGAAGACCTTTTAAATGTCAAGTATAATAATGCGTGACTATTATAAAATCAAAATTCTTGGGGGCCTCTTCAACTGCACGTAGTAAACAAAATGTCGTATAATGTTTTCCCTAGAGCCATACTGCCAGGAATTATTTTATAGAGTAATATTCGTTATGATAATGCTTTGTAATGAAGGTAACTCAAATTTAAATAATTTTTTTTTGTTTGGTCAACTTTGTTGTAGCCTTGGTATCGGTAATTCTAATTTAACTATGTACGATCGATTATAGTAGATACAATTAACACGTGACTTTTAGTCCCGAAAAATTATAAGTACTGTTTCAACACAGTTGCTTTAGTATAACTTAGGTTGCGGTCTTCACCTTTAAATGTCCGACGACGATAGGGAATTTGCCAACAGTGGGTAAGCAGGCTTAACATCCTATACTTAATCTTATAGAAACACTCATCACCTTGTCCGCGTTGTGAAAGCTTAGATTATGGGATAGAGGAAGAAAATTTCGAGACACTTCTTCCGGTATACTCATACTCATATATATGGAAAAAATGTGTCGGATCTATACGCATGCGTAACACTGACCATAAGTTTATGTTTGTGTAATATCGCTTATAATTTTCTAGGATAAAGAGAAAGAAGAACACGTTGAATTTTTTCCAGAAATTGGTCTTTTATTATACGTTGTCTCCAGTCGTTTCTAGTATTAGTTGATTAAGATCCTTTCAGAAATAATCTTCAAGTAATTGAAAGATCAACTACTCCTTATTTAACAAAATACGAAAGAGCCAGAGTGCTAGGTTAATTTATTTGTTATTTATTAATTCTGGGTCTACTCACCGCTTTCCTCCCTTTTTTTTTAGGGACAAGAGCACTACAAATTAGCATGAATGCACCAGTTATGGTGGAGCTTGAGGGTGAAACCGATCCTCTTAAAATCGCTTTGAAGGAGTTGCAAGGTTTTTATGTTCTTAGTTGTTGTATAAACAATCAAGTTTAAAATTTATATAAGCAAACAAAATACCCATAATTGTTCGACGCTATTTACCTGATGGGCAATATGAAGATTGGCCCGTCAAGGAGTTAATAATTGAATACTAACCATTTGTTATCTTCTTTAGCTGTGAATAAGTGGTTGCCAGTCCTTATAATTGTATTTTTAATTGTTTTTACTCAAGAGCTCATCTTAACATTAAAAATCTTTGTAAGGTTAGCGGTTAAATTTAATAATAGCGTTTATTTATTTTAAGCGGCTATTAGTAAAAAAAAGTTTTGATATATTAGAGAAAGAATCGCGTCCTGTATTTTTTATTAAATTCCCTTAAATTGCTTATTAACTAAGCTAATAGTTAATGAATGTACGAAGGATCTCTGTACCTAATTTCGTGGTCACTGGAGCTTTGAGTTTGCTTGTTTTCTTATTCTCTTTATTTGTGAGAAGGTAGCCTTAGCTTTTAGCGGTTTTATAGGCCAGGTTTGACTATTGCCCGTACTTAAGAACTGTAAACTTGTAGTGAAACTCATTTGATTCTAGAATAAGTTGTATAAAACACCCTGTGGTCTTTATGAATAGAATTTTACGATACCCTTTTATTAAAGTAAACTTTAATTTCTTGCTGAAAATTTGCGCCGTTGCTGAGTTGAAGATTAGCTGAATAAACAATATGGATGTGTGTTTAGTTATAAAAATTAAAATACTTGCATTTTGTCCCGGCGCAGATGCACATTATCTTATTCTGGCTTTATGTGAACTTAATCTATATCACCTTTTTCGAAGAATGGTTTACAAAAATCCATGCGTTAGTTAGAACTTAAGCGATTGATTATTGGGAGTACTATTGTAAGAATTACAATTTATTGCTTATTTAGTATGTACAAGTTTTAGGCCAGTTTATAAAACAGGTCTTTAAAAGCAGCTTGTGAGAGAAGAAGGCAACCTTTGTTGTTTGGCATGTTACAAACGCCAAAAATTTCAGTAGAATTAGAACAATCAAAAAGGCATTCATAAACTGTATTTTGTTTATGAAAGGTTAGAATTGCTTTTGTAGACCCGAACACTTGGTTTCGGCCCCATTAGAGAAGTTTGTAGATTAATTTAAGTGTCTTAAAGAAACGTCTCGGGACCAGAAATTATACGGTTACTGTTTACAATTGAATATTGTCCCTTTTAAAGGTTGAGAGTTAATAAAATTATTGGGTATACATGCCTGCATGTGCGACCTGATAATTTTTTCTCTTTTCTCTCTTTTGCTACGTCCACTTTTGCCTTCTCGATAACCACTTTTTAACCTTGCTCTGCTAACTATGAAGTACTTCAAATTTTAGCGTTTTTTTACGATTTTTTTTGTTATTTTTTCGACTTAACTTTTCTGTCTCATGTTAATACCCTTCTTCTTTAGCGCTCGCTTCCTTTTTTATTAGTTATAACATCTACTTTACGTGTTCCTGCATAGTTCCCTGGGCTTTATGCTTGTCTTTACACTGTTTTAAGCCGAAAACGTAGTAATAAATTTTCTTTTGAAAAAATATTATAATCTTTTTTAAAGGTTTAAAAAAAATAAGATTTATTATAAATAAGAACTATTTTCTTTATTTTTAACCTTTTCATTAGGGTAGTTAAATACGCCCGCCCTTCTTGTGACTCATAGCCGACTAATGACTGTTTTTAAAAACCAGATTACCCCTATTAACGCCTTTGACATTAGTCATAAGCGCTCGTATAATGCCCCTTCCGCTTTACTTTCGCTTTTTTTCCTACTTTTCCACCAGTGGTATAGAGGCGCGTCTAGTTAATATGTTAAACTACGCGTTACCATGAACAACCTTTAACAATAAATTTTTAGTAACTTTAACTAAAAGCATAGGCCAGTGTCAGACAGATTATTTAAACTTGTCTCAAGAACTTATAAGTATGTTTTTTTAAACTTTGATTAGTTTGTCAAAGTCTTGAAAAGTAATAAACGCGTAATTAAGCCTTATATCTTTTGTTAAGGGATACTTAGTAAAGTGTAAATTAATTTTATGGATAAACAGGCTCTAAGTGATACAAAAGAACGTTAAATTATGGTTTTTAATTATCACCTTACAAAGTTATTCTCCACTTAAAAGCTTTATCTATCAAGAAGTTGGGAAGTAGGATGCACTAGATTAATAACTGACGAAGAAATAGAGGACAAGTATATTACTTACTTATTAGTAACAGTTTCTGGTGCTCGACTGAGTCAAAAAACTTCAAATACTTGTGCTTCTCAACCGGGAGTGATTGCAGGTATATTATCATATAGCTTCAATCGATATGGTATCATTCTTTTCTTGACATTACCTAACAAAAACAAGCGCTTACGCGCGCCACGTGAGCGGTGATACTGTGTCGCACAAATTACGGCGCGTTCTCAACGCAGCAATTTGTTCTGTCGCAAATGAAGTGCCGACGCTTTTGCAGTGGTTGTAACTCCAAGCAGCAGATGCGTATGTCATTATTGGCTGGAATAAGACAAATACAAAATACAATTACCGTTTGTTCTCAGAGAAAGCTTGCTCTTGCCGCATAGTAAAGGGTAAGCGTCTTAGTTGCAGCCTTGGCCTTAGCTACTACATAGCCCACCGTATGACTACTAGGAAAGTTTGTTGTCAATCTTGACTATCATATATTATTTCGCTTGGGAACACCACGGAATCTTCAGGTCATCAAAGGGTTGACAGTGCCAACAATTGGGCTCATTTATTTGTAATTAAAGCGCTTTGCTCTTCATCACTTTTAAAGCAACTTCCAATTACGTCACCAGGCAGCAAGGGCGTCAAGATAACGCTGTAGATGCTCGCATAGCAAGCGGGAGAGTTCGACGATGAGAAATCGGTTGTATCATCGGAGTAGAGGGCGATTCGTGGGTGTGGAATTGACGGCAAGGGCCCGTTGCTCATATGAAATACAAATTAAAGGAGCGAGAAAAGTGATCCCTGAGAAACCCTTGCTGTCAGAGATCGCAGAGGCGGCTGTGTATCTCTCACGCGCACGTTGAAGACGCGGCCATATAGATTTGACTTTAGCATGTTATAAAGGACATGAGGCATGCATAACGCAGCGAACTTCACCGCAAACTAATAGAGTGCCTTTCGACGTGAAGGGAGACAGCCCCTGTGATCTTCTTAAAGTTAAAAGCACGAGTGGTTCATTCAGTTAGACGGAGGAGCCGCTGGGTTGTTGAGTGCTCTTTTTGAAATCCAAATTAAAACTCCGGGAAGATGACCCGAGTGTCAACGACCTCTTTAAAACGACGCAGTAAAATGGCCTTACTCACTTTGCCGACCGCTGAGGGGAGACAAATGGGCCGGTACTAGCTAGTTGCTGATTCCGGTTTAAGGTACTTTGGCAACATCACAACGGTCGCCGTCTTCATTAAATCGGATAGGCGCCAAGGACCAGGCAGATTATACTGAGGTACGGATAAGTGCATTGTTAATGGCAATTCCTTCAGCATCTCATTAGTGATCGGGGCAAGGCGCTTTTCGTTTGGGTGGCACTTCGACAATCGCTTGAACCTCGCCAACATTAACTAACTTAAGTGGTTCGTAAACATCGGGAAGGGAAACTCAGATGAGGGAACGCATCAAGGGCAGTTAAGTGAGCAGCTGGAACGTTTTGGATAGCAAGGTGATTGGCGAAAAGAGCAGCTTTGTCTTTATCACTCTCAGCCACTACATTTCCTTCACGAAGAGTCGGTAGAGATACAAGTCCCCGAGTGAGTTTATTATTCCGTAGAGGAAGAAAAAATATATTTTAAGGGAGTAAAAAAGATAATCTACAATGTAGGCAGAAGAAACATGTCACTTTCAAGGGGTATGATTTTAGTTCCTTTTATGTGGACGCGACCAGGCAAGAGAGTTCTTTTTTTTTTTAGTGGTATACTGAGGAGCCCCTATAACACTGGATAAGGTCGTAGTTAACCAGTTCGTAATGTATGCTCGCGTTCAGCTTCATGGAATAGATTGTTTCAGTCCAGGTATTGATTTGAGGATCGTACACAGTTGTATCCTACTGGCAATTTAATACCATCTAACCTTTCTTTAATTTTCACTTAGTGGTGGTTTAGTAAGGCATTATCAACATAAAATGAAATTATTTCCATGTTAAGCATAGTTGCCAAACAAAAAAAAATTGTGCAGAGTAGATACTGACCATTAGACTGGAGGTACCTAGGTAGTCAACGCCGTGTATTTCCGTGTGAACTTTGTCACAGATGCAGCTCTTGTATCGATAGATGTTGCCATCAGCACTGCCTTTCACTTTAAAAACTAATTATAGCCAATTTCTCTAGGCCAACTGGTTGATGCAAGTATTCATGTCCAGTTTTTCTTAGGACAACCAAGTTAATGACAACGAATTTTGTCCATTGATCTTTTTCTGTGCCATTTACGACTTCACGATATCTTCAGGGTTTTAAGGCTCTTCTGGCGTGCGAAATGGGGATAGGAAAGAGCGCAACATTGGAGGTGCATTGGGTTTTATTCTACAGTTTAGTTCCATTATTTTTAAGACTCTCTTCAACTATGGCTCGACGCAAGATAATTTGTTTAATTCTGCTATCAGGACCCGCAGCTGTACTTAAGTTGAGAGTTCAGATAATACATTACCGTCAAGAGTACCAAATGGTTTGACGCAGTAGTAATGGACGCAGTTCCATCTTTTTAGGATGAACAATAACCGTCTTGAGTTTGCCGGAGGGAAGGATCTCGATTCATTAGATACTCATTAACTCTGGGTTTTACAACTGTATTCAATGCTTGTATATTCCGCAGACGTGCAACACTTGCCGTGTCAAGAGTTACTGGTTCAGTAGGTAATATATTGCGTTTGCGGATGGATTCAGTGTGTTTTTGTATATAAGGGCTCATTAATAGTTAGTAAACTAGAAGTTTTGGGGTCCTAGATTTTGAAGTACCTAAGAATTGTATTCCTTAGTGGAGTTGGTTTGGGTAGTTCTTATTGACGATCAATTTTTTACTCTTGCTAATAAACAAGGGACACTTCCGCAAAAGTTCACGATGTGCGAGGATGTTACAGTTGGATAAGGATCTAAAAAAATAATTTGACTTCAGTCCCTTTCTTAGGCCAGGGATATATAAAGGGTTTTAAATTAAAGGATAAGTTTCA